TCTACACACACACACACACACACACACACACACATAGATATATATATATCTTGCTGAATATTGTCTGGGTAAAAGATGATCTTTTGAGGTATGAGGTGTTAATCACAATGCTGATACAGCTGTATGAGATGGAGACTGGAGGCCTCTGCTGATCTCTCAAACCCTGCAGGGTTGAGAGCCTAAATCTCTCCTCAGCCCACTTAAAAGACAATTTAAACTGTTAACCTTGGCTAAGCAGAAGCTTTCCCAGCAAAGCACTAGTCACCTGGATCTCTCCTGAAGCGGCTGCCCACTTATCCAGTACATCAAAACTGGTCTCACTCTATGCCCCTGAGGGCCAAGGCTGTAAGGCTGTAAGCCCTGCTAGTGCCAAACACTGAAATCTCCGCTCTTCCCCAGCCTCTCACACCCCACCTTTGGGCTGCTCAGTCACTAGATTACTCAGCCAAGGTCTCCCAGCCCAGTTTTCACTCTGTGACCCTGAGGGCAGAGCCTGCCTGGACCGTTCTCTCCCAATGGCTGCGTGTGCAGACCACAACCAAACAATATTAGCTCCCTTCTGGCTCAGCAGCTCAGTCCAGGACCCTAGACAACACTTAAAGTCATCTGTACCTTCGCCCAAGTTCTCCCAAGGGAGTTCAACCAAGTGCCCAAGTCCAAAAAATCGAAACAGCCCACAGGTAGGGCCTTTCCTGTTTGCAATCTCGCTGCTGCTGTAGTTACAGCTATGGGCGGCCTCCAACCAAACAAGTGCAACCACTTGCCAGTTCTCCACTGCTTTTGTCCTCCTCTTGGGTTCCAGAAGTCTCTTGGTGTCTACCATTGTCTCCAAAGGGACGTTTCTAGGCAGGTCCCTCCAGCCAGAGATGCCTGGAGTCTTCTCTCCCCAATCTCATGGAGTCTGGTTGCAAAGAAGCTGTTACTCGGCCGCCACCTTGCTCCACCCCCTTTTGAGACAGAGCCTCAAGCTGTCACCCTGGGTAGAGTACTGAGGCATCACAGCTCACAGCAACCTCCAACTCCTCAGCTTAAGGGATTCTCTTGCCTCAGCCTCCCAAGTAGCTGGGACTACAGGTGCCCGTCACAACACCCAGCTATTTTTCAGTTGTAGTTGTCCTTGTTGTTTGGCAGGCCCAGCCTGGATTCAAACCCACCAGCTCTGGTGTATGTTGCTGGCACCTTAGCCACTTCAGCTACAGGTGTCAAGCCTAGAAAGTAACTCTTTTTTATTTATCTATTTCTATTTATTTATTGCTGGGGATTCATTGAGGGTACAAGAAACCAGGTTACACTGATTGAATTTGTTAGGTAAAGTCCTTCTTACAATCGTGCCTTGCCCTCAAAAGGTGTGGTGCACACCAAGACCACACATTCCCCCTTCCCTCTCTCTACTCTTCCTTTTCCCACCCCTCCTTTCTCTCTCTGCTCTCCTCTTCCCCCAACCATGTCATTAATTGTCCTCATGTCAAAATTGAGTACTTAGGATTCATGCTTCTGCCAGGAGAGTATCTCCTAATGAAGTTCCTGATCAAGGAGAGAACAGTTCTCTCTCAGTTTACCTAGAAGTTGCACTTCTGAAAAATTCAGTTGGTGTTGAATCCATGCAAAAATTACTTTGTTGTATACATATACAATAGGTTCAAGGCTCTCATTATTATAAACACATTTTTTTTTGAAACATAGTCTCACTTTGTCACACTGTGCAGAGTGCAGTAACATCACAGCTCATAGCAACTGAAACTCGGGTTTGAGTGATTCTCTTGCCACAGCCTCCTGAGTAGCTGGGACCACAGTACCTGCCATAACACCTGGCTATTTTTTGATTGGAGTTGTCATTTTTGTTTAGCAGGCCCAGGCTGGGCTCGAACCTGCCAGCCTCAGTGTATGTGGCTGGTGCCCTACTTACTGAGCTACGGGCACCAGACCTAAACACATTTTTTTTTTTTTTTTGAGATAGAGTCTTACTATGTCACCCTCGGTAGAGTGCCGTTGCATCACAGCTCACAGCAACCTCAAACTCTTGGGCTTTAGAGATTCTCTTGCCTCAGCCTCCGAAGTAGCTGTTTTTGCTGTTGTAGTTGCCATTGTTTGGCAGGACTGGGCTGGGTTTGAACCTGCCAGTCCCGGTGTATGTGGCTGGTGCCCTAGCCGCTGAGCTACAGGCACCGACCCTATAAACACATTTTTCACTTAGAGGTCCTTCAGCTCCTGTTCAGAAGCTACGAGGAGGGCAGCAGAGCATTTTGTGATGGCCTGAGGCTGTGTGTCCCTCTCCCATCACCCCAGAGCCACAAATACCCCCATAGCTTGAGACTCCCCAACTACAGCCCTGCCCCTGGGCTCCCAGCACCATGCTCTCTGAGGGACGTTAGTGAAGGTTTGTTGATTTGGTTCTAAAGTAAGAAAACCCATCTCGTGAATGGGTTTTTTTCATGAACTTCAGAGTATCTATGGTGACTTGTGTTATGAAAATGGTTTTACTAAGGAGAGAGGACCACCAGGCACACACAAGAGCAGTGAATGTTGAGATGGTGAAAACAGTGTTGAAAGTTATTTTTGTGGGATGAAAGTGGATCTGGTAAACCCAAGGCAGAGTCCTAGAGACCCTGCCTACCCATGCCATAGCCACAGGAGAGGCAGGTGGCAAGTGGGTGTGTAGTGCTGCCTGGGCTCTGCCCCAGTTCTAAGGGTGCTATCCCAGCTTTGAGGGTGGAAGATGGAGGTGCTGGGCTCTGCCCAATGTGAGTGAGGCAGGTGGGGTGCGGTGCTCTGCCCCTGGGCTCTGCCTCAGTGGGAGGGAGGCAGGTGGGGTGCAGTGCTCTGCCCCTGGGATCTGCCCAGTGT